GGGCAGAGCAACTCTGCCTCGGGCTTCCTGTAGTCAGCCGCTGGTCAGTTTCAGCAGCGGCTGAATCTGGGCGCCAGTTCCGACTTACATACAGATTCAACTTAAGAACAAACCTACAGTCCCTATCTTGTACGTAACCTGGGGACTGCCTGTATGTCATTTTAAGTTCAACACGACAACTAATACTAATGCAAATATTAGAAAAATTAAGAATCTCATTTTTATTATGCAAAGGATTACACAGACTAAAACTGTTTTCCCATAAACAGTTTTTACTCTAGACATGGCACCATTTTTAACCTTTGAGTTTTTGGTATAAACTGCAAAGTGCTGCGATAGAAAATTATAATTACCTGCGGAGCAATACGATTAACAATATCTGAAATGTCAACTGTACAGCTACTGATGGCTTGTTTCTTTCTTTCATTACCTAAAAAGAAAAACCTTTGTATAAACTGTCAAACGTGACAAATCCAGGTTTCTCAAGTAGAAATGTTTCACATACAACTGCTAACTTCAAAACTGCAGTAAGTGCTGGATCATAGTATGTACTACAAAAAAGGCAATAAAAAGCCAGCCTCCTAAGAAGAGTGCTTCTGTAGTAAAAAAAGATTAAGACATCTACAGTATATTTTAACTATACATTTCAAATGGCCATTTACTTACTAAAAAGCACAGATGAAATAAGAAATCTTTGGTAATAGTTACCTAGTTTGTGTGTAATTGGCGAATGAGGATCCCAAAAAATTTCTTGCTGTATATCAGCATCATTGGCTGGAGAACTGAAGGTTGATAACCTTGATCTGCTATTTAATGATCTCTTCGGTGTCTTATATAAACATGATTCTGTGTGAATAAAGATTCTCATATAAGAAGTTAGCGCTGGCAAAAAAAAAAAAAACACAATACAGATCCCATGAATCAAGGGCACACATTTTATAAACTGGCAAAATGAAAGAAAGAGATACAATCATCCCTTAACTATTTTTTTCACAATTACACATTAAGTTGAGAATATGACTTGTCAGCAGCATTACTGCAGATAGAAGAAATTCATTTTCAAAATGCATTGCAGGATACAGAAAGCAAGATTTTCAGACTATCAGTAAGAATGAAAACTATCAAAGAATAACTTAGTAAAGTTATTGCACCACCAGTGGAATCTAATAATAAAAGTTATCTTATCGAAACTGAGGGAAAATCCTTTGGTAGAATAGATGCTCCTCCTCCTTTCTCTTCCCCTCCCTTGGCATAGTTTGTGAACACAGTGGTGATCTCTGGTTAAAATTTCACCCTTTCAAAACTATTAGCAGCCAGTGTTAAAACAGCCAAAACAGGACTCTTCTAACTTATCCCTGGAGATGGCTATGCTCAGCAGTCCCAAGACAGGGAAAATGTTTTCCACTCCCACACTGCATTCAGCTCACCCAAACTCTGAAATCTTACCCTATACAGTCAGGCTGTGTCTAGATTGGCATGATTTTCCGGAAATGCTTTTAACGGAAAAGTTTTTTCAGAACAGAGCATTTAGATTGGCACAGACGCTTTTCGTGGAAAAGCGTCCGTGCCAATCTAGACGCGCTTTTCCGCAAAAAAGCCCCAATTGCCATTTTCGCGATCGGGGCTTTTTAGCGCAAAACAAATCTGAGCTGTCTACGCAGGCCCTTTTGCACAAAGCTTTGCGCAAAAGGGACTTTTGCCTGAACAGGAGCAGAATAGTATTTCCACAAGAAGCACTGATTTCTTACAGTAGGAAGTCAGTGCTTTTGCGGAATTCAAGCGGCCAGTGTAGACAGCTGGCAAGTTTTTCCAGAAAAGCGGCTGATTTTCCGGAAAAAACTGGCCAGTCTAGACACAGCCTCAGTGTATACGTTTATATGCAGGGAAGAGGGTGGGAGACAGGGGCCAGTGCTCACAGGTGCTCTATCAGGGGGTGGGGAGTAGGGGGAGGGGAGAGGAGAACCAGTTGGCTCAACGGACGCTGGTACATGCTGGAGAGGGGAGTCAAAGTCAAACAAGGCAACAGTACAGGGGTGAAAGAGTTGGTTCAGCATGTACCGGCTCCCACCTGCCCCACTGCCCTGCATCAGACGCAGTAAGGGAAAAGGGAAGATGGCTTTTAAACCACCTCCCTGCAAACACCAGCTTCCAGTCTCACCCCTGCTACCTCTGTGGGAGGCAGCAAGGGGAGGGCCATGTAGCTCGCAGAGGCAGTAGAGGGGGGGGGGGGGCTGTGTGTAATGGAAAGGATTAACTGATGAGCCCAGGCTCTTTGGTTAACCATGTTATCAACTGCATGGTCACATCCCTTGTATTATTAAGGTAATAATACAGAGGTAATGCTGATAGAGGCAATTCTGCCCAGGGTGGCAGGTGGTTCCCCAGGAGTGGGGCTGGACTGCACTGGCTGCTGGCCTCACCTCTGGGACTAGAGAATGGTTGAATAACCACTAAGAATACATGGGGTTAGTTGACTATTTAATCAACCAATATCTAACATCCCTAAAACTATCTTCAACATTTGTTACCTCTTAAAAATGAAGAAATCCTTAATTACACTTTCAAGTTTCAAACCCAGAGGTATTAGCACAGAGAAAGGATTGTTTGTCCTTGCTGGAAGCATTCCTTTCTGGTTGAACTGGGATGGTATTGGCAAAACTGGAAGGAACTGAATGAGTGCAAAAGCAGAATTGGGAGGTGTGGAGGTTCAAACAGGCTTCACTATCACCACATTAGTGAATCATGAGTGTGATAACCTGATACTTATCAGTTAATGGTCTTAGTTATGCTCAGCCAGTTCCAGAGGAGGCAGTTTCACAGCAGCAAGGCAGCAAAGCCACCTCCCTGGGAGCCAAGCAAGCAAGGCCTGCCTGTTCTGCTCCCTGGGGTGGATGCTTCATTGAGGACTCTGCAGCATAAAGCTAAGAACAAAGCTAAAATTTATACTGCAGAGCCTGTCATGTGGGTAACCAGTGAGATTTTCAGAGGTTACATGGTTACCCTAGTACACAATTTTTAACATCCCTAATCACCACTCCCCTTCACTTAAAAAAACTAGGCCTGAATCCTACAAATTACTCTGTATAAGAGTTGTGTAACTGTGTAAAGCTCTACTGAAGTTTACTCGGCTCTGTGTGGACATGTAGTAAATTACAGGACTGCGACCAAAGTTATTTACATTTTCTTGCTTACCATCATCATACAACATCAAAATCGCACAACTGAAAATCTCCTTGGCTTAAAAAAAAATATATATGGAATTGCAGCAGAAAATTCAATAGCTGCCTACTAGCACAATGCACCAAAGAAGAAAATTTGCCAGTAGTCAGATCACAGAGTTTTTTTTATACTGGATTATTTGTTGGTACAGATGGGAATGCTCTGCTTAAAAGCTGATTGCATGATCTGCCTTCAACCTAAGTATTCATATATGAATTATGATAGAGCCTATCCTATGGGTTCCCAAACTGTGGGGGGGGGAGGCATACCCAGCACAATGCACCAAAGAAGAAAATTTGCCAGTAGTCAGATCACAGAGTTTTTTTTATACTGGATTATTTGTTGGTACAGATGGGAATGCTCTGCTTAAAAGCTGATTGCATGATCTGCCTTCAACCTAAGTATTCATATATGAATTATGATAGAGCCTATCCTATGGGTTCCCAAACTGTGGGGGGGGGAGGCATACCC